TTCTCTTCTCTTTTCTTCTCTTCTCTTCTCTTCTCTTCTCTTCTCTTCTCTTCTCTTCTCTTCTCTTCTCTTCTCTTCCTCCTCCTCATCATCATCATCAGCATCATCATCAGCATCATCATCAGCATCATCATCATCAGCATCATCATCATCATCATCAGCATCATCATCATCATCATCAGCATCATCATCAGCATCATCAGCATCATCATCATCAGCATCATCATCATCATCATCATCATCATCATCAGCATCATCATCAGCATCATCATCATCATCATCATCATCATCATCATCATCATCATCATCATCATCATCATCATCATCATCATCATCATCATCATCTCCCCCTCCTCCTGCTCGTCATCCTCCCCTTCCTCCCCCAGCGCACGGGGCGCCCGCGGGCGGGCCCCGGGCGCAGCCCTCGGCACGCCCACGGGGGCGCCCACGAGCGCCCGCGGGCACGGGGCGCAGCCCCCTCGGCACGCCCGCCCGCCCGGCGCACTGCAGTGGGCGCCCGCGGGCGGCCCCCAGGCGCGCAGCCCATTGGCACGCCCGCGCAGCGCGGGGCGCGCCCGCGAGGCGTCCTCGGGCGCCCAGCGGCCACGGCCACGGCCACGGCCACGGCCACGGCCAACGCCACGGCCACGGCCACGGCCGGGAGCCTGGCCCGCCCAAGTCGGGTATAGCCAGGACCCCGGGTCAGGGGACCCGGTTAGTGTCGGGGGAGCGTAAGACCTGGGTTTGCCAGGACTCGGGCTCGCCATCGTTTTTTGACGACCGCGCCTCGGATTTTGACGAGGAGGAGTTTCGTGGGATGTCTGCAGCGGGAGGCCTCGTCAAAATGCAGGCTCGACCTCGTCATTTTTTTGACGACCTCGTCGGGGATTCCCGAGTCCCCTGTACCCAGGTCTTACGTCCCCCTGATAGTGGTAGGGCCCTGTGGCCCCTCAGTTGGCCAGATTCACTAAACCAGGTTTACCGTAACCGGTGTTTTTCGGGTGACGGCTGTTCCGGTCAGTGGAAATGGGGCGGGGGAGCGCCCCTGGTGCAAATCACTAAACCAGGTTCCATTAAACCCAGTTCTGCCAACGCCCGACCAAGCAAGTTGCCCTGCGGAAGCGAAGTCAGGGCCTCGAGGTGCAGGCGCTGCGTCGGGGGGAGCCGCCGATGTTTTCGGTCATGTGGCCGAGCGAAGCTTCAGGTCAGAGCCCCGGTGTGTGTGTGTGTGTGTGAACCCAGTCGCCCTCCAACCGCACAGGTTTTGGGGATGATAAGGCGCGTGTGCGCGGCGCCAAGGCGGCATTCCAATTTGTAATGTGAAGACGATTCGCCCTCAATCCGTGTAGCCAGGGGAATGTTTACGGCGAGCGAGCGCGGCGCTGGGGCGAGAGCCCCTTGTAGAGCACGAGCCGCCCTCCATCCGTGTCACTGTTTGATGTTTAAGACGAGCGTGCGCGGCGCCAAGACGAGAACCCGATTTCAAAAGCGACCCGCCCCCCGCCCATATAAGTGTTGAGATCGCAAGCTTCGAAATCGAAAGAGCGGCGAGGCAGCCTCTGGCGAAACGCCTGCCTGTCCCTTACGACACGCTTGGTGGTGCGGCAGAGAGCAGTTAATGATGAGGAAGAGGGTCTAGGAGCAAGATGAGGAGGAGTAGGAGGAGGAGGAGGAGACATCGGAACACAATGAAGGACAGGAGGAGTAGACGACGAGGAAGAAGAGGACGACGCAGGAGGACGAGGTAAAACAGGAGGAGAAGGAGGAGGAGAAGGAGGAGGACAATAAGCCGGAGGAGGAGGAGGAGGAGACGGAGGAGGAGAAGAAGAAAGAGGACGAGGAACAACGGTGCGTGGATGATGATGATGATGATGATGATGATGATGATGATGATGATGATGATGATGATGATGATGATGATGATGATGGTGGTGGTGGTGGTGGTGGTGGTGTGATGATGATGATGATGATGATGGTGATGGTGATGGTGATGGTGATGGTGATGATGATGATGATGATGATGATGATGATGATGATGATGATGATGATGATGATGAGGAGGAGGAGGAGAGGAGGAGGAGGAGGAGGAGGAGGAGGAGGAGGAGGAGGCGGGAGGAAGGCCAGAGGGAACGGCGTCTCCGCGCCGGCCGGTGCATCGCGCTGGGACGCGTGGCCGCGTGCCTCTCCTCCCGCGCTCGGCCCCCCTGCGGCTGGGCGCGCGCGGCCCTCCGCGCGCGTCCTCGTGCTCCTCCCGAGGGCCCGCCGCGGAGGTCTCCCGAGGCCTCCGGAGGGCGCCCGGGGCCTCTGTGGGTCCCTGGAGGCCCCTCCGAGGCTCGGGCCGACGAGGCGCCTGAGACGAGGGGGAGGAGGAGGGAGGAGGAGGAGGAGGAGGAGGAGGAGGAGGAGGAGGAGGAGGAGGAGGAGGAGGAGGAGGAGCAATGGGCAATGGCCGAGGGCGCAGAGGGGAATCCCGACTGGGCCTCGGAGCGAAAGGAAAGGGCGCAGGCACGCGCCCGAGGTGGGGCCACAGCTAGTCCGAGTCCCCAGACTCGGGCTGTTGCTGGGGCGCAGAGGCCGAGGGGGAGGGGGGAGCCGTGGGCGCGGGCCTGCGCTGCCCCTCGGCAGAGGCCTGCGGCGCCGTGCTCCGCCGCTCCTCCTCCTCGACACCACGACCGACACCGTCCCCCCCGTCCGCCACCCCCGTCCCGACGTTAGCCAGCGAGCGCACCGCGGCCTCAGGGGCAATCGGGGCTAGGAGCAGCGGGCCGATCGCCTCTCCCGTCTTGGGGTGGCGGCCACGCTGGGCCTGTTGCAACATTCTCTGGACTCTCTCCCCCCGCGTCCCACACACCCCCGCTCCCGACCGAACACCCTCATCCTTGACAAGGCAGGCTCGCGTGAGGCCCACTGAGAGCCTCTGCGGTCGCACTGTGTGGGCCCCACAGCGCGTGCAAATCAGCACTCGATCACAAACCTGGATCAGGTGTCCAGGGCCGACAACCTGGGGATCACACAAGCGGGAGGCGAGGGACTTCAAAGAAGACGGGGTCGAGGCCTGGCGCCAACAAGCCTTGCACCCAATAGCGCCCGCAGGAAACAGGGCAAACGCGTGGGTGGTCGGCTTTCGTCGACGTGGGGCTCTAGGGGCGGGCGGTAGCGGCCGATAGACGACGGGCGACGCCAAAGAGGCCACTCTATGGGCAGCGAACGCCAGACAACGCATCCGCTGCTTGGCCTGCTCCATCTCAAACTTATGTGCACGGGTGGTTTGGTCTGATGCATCTGCAGAAAAAAGACCCCCTATCTTCAATGTGTTTGGCCCTCCTAACCTGGGTCGCCTCCCAAAGGGTCAGGGGCTCTTCTTGGTTAACCATCAACGATCCACGCCAGAGTCGTCGCGACCCGAACCTGCCGTGCGCATCGACCCTCGACCCCCAATCGCTCGTTCGTCAGACTCAGGGCCGTCGCGACCAGAAACTGCCGTACGCATCGACCCTCGACCCCCAGTCGCTCACTCGTCGTCGGCAGGGGCGATCTCGACAACTTTTCGCCCAGGCAGCGCGCGGGTTTGCGAGCGAGATCCTATGGCCGATATATCGGCGCTGCATCGTGGATTCCAGATCGATGCTTCCTCCCCAGAGCCGGTCCAGCCCTTACAGCTGGGCCGTTGACCTAAGGAACCCTCAACAAGGAAGGAGGCCTCCTTTTCCCATAATTGAAACTTTGATCTCCCATGGAAAACTTCATGAAAACCGAAGGCAAACTGTAGAGCAATCACCGAGCCCCTCCCCAACGAAAAGGGTTCCTTCTTCAGCGCCCCGATTGTAGAGGGTCCAGGAAACGGCAGGGCCGTTTTTTTCATTGTTTCAGAAAAAGCGTCTGTTGAGCATGGAAACAAGAAAAAACGGCGACGGGAAACGGCGCAAAAACGGCTCCGGGATTGGAGTTGGAGCTGGAACAGGACGGTCAAACATGGCGACGGAACCGGCAACAGAAACGGCGTGGGAACCAGCAAGAAAAACGGCAAAACGGAACGGTTGAAAAAGAAACGGCCCTGTTGTTTCCAATGCCCACGAAGGTCTTGCCTTATCGTACCCCTCACCCAGAGGTCTGGAGGCTCGAAAGTTTACCACGCTTTCCAAACGGCTGCAAGCACACTGTGATGATGCCAGCGCGTGGAGCCCAAACGGTAACGATTTGCAATGTGTCGGGGTGAAACCGTGAACCTTGGGGTGCAATATATGATGTGAAATTAAGGTTGACTGCATCCGAGCGTGACCACGTCCAATGCGAGTGTAAACATCCAGCCCACCCACGCATCCAGAACTTGTTGGTAAAACTCGGCTGCCAGTTGTCACTGTCCAGATACTGGCCAGCGACAACGACGATGATGACGGCGATGAGGATGTTCATGACGACGGTGAGGACGATGTCGACGACGACGGTGGTGGGGTCATGTAGTTGATGGTGATGATAATGACGGTGGTAACGATGATGCCGGCGATGAGACGCTGGTGTTGGTGAGGTTGATGAGAAAGTGCGAGTCCAGACATTCGCGCAAGACCACACCCCATGCTTGAGCAGATATCCCAACCCCACGCTCGCAACTTGTTGGCGAAACTCAGAAGGCCGTGAGTGCGGCTACCCATCGGAATTTTCTCGCAACTATCAACCGCCGCAGTGATGCAGACCCTGCTCATGCAGATCAATGATTGGGGCGGGCGAGTGATGATTGTGACGACGTCATCGGTTAGATGCGGCGAGGACGATGAGGATGATGATGGTGGTGGTGGCGATGGTGATTGTAATGGTGATATAGCGATGGTGGCGACGAGGGGGACGACAGCAACGATGACGATGACGACGATGGCAGCGCTCTTGGTGATGGTAACGACGACGCTGGTGATGGTGATGATGTTCATGGCGATGGCAGCGATGACGCTGGCGATGACGCTGGCGATGACGCTGGCGATGACGATGATGATGATGATGCTGCTGATGATGATGATGATGATGATGCATCTGATGATTATGATGCTGATGGTGCCGATGCTGTTGCTGATGATGATGCTGCTGATGATGATGATGACGATCGTGCTGATGACGACGATGATGATGACGATGATGAAGATGAATGGTAATGATGATTATGATGATGACGATGATGATGATGATGATGACGACGTGCACGCGTGCAGACCCTCTAACATCTGCTACTGGGAACTCAACGGGTTTTCGCATGGGTTTGAGCACCTCGATCGTGCAATGCTTAGAACACCACTGAGTTTGCAATCAGTTCGACATGCGCGGACGGGGACGCGCGCGTGTGGGCTACATGGTACAACTTGACAGATTTGGCGGGTGGGCGATCATTGTTGAATGGTTTCGGCTTGCGCGCGTATGTGGCCAGCATGGTTTCATGGACAGCATGGCTGACATACGATGTTTCTCTTTTTGTTTTAGCGAGTGTCCGCGCGAAGAAGTCTGTTGTTCATTCACACAAACGTGTTGGTTACAAGTTCTAGCGCCATTTGCGTTAGCTACTTGTGGTGGGAAACATTTAACATGTGCGCCCGCGTCTGGCTCGCATGCTCTCATTCGATAAGGGGTTATCACAGCATGCACCTGTTAGATCAACGCGCGCGCCCCGTGGATGACGGGGGCTGTCGATGCCAGCCTCCGATGCGACTCTTGCATGCATGACATGAGCGGTCGCGCATAAGATGCTTGAGAAGCCGATGCGACAAGGCCTGCTTCTGAGCCCTGCTTCGGCAGGGGGGGGGCAGATTCGCAACCTTTTTTGGGGAAGTCGGAATTTACAGCGGAAGCCCATGCCAAGAAGCACCCTGCTTGCCTCCAGGATGCCTTTGGTTGCTTGGGGTTCGATGGTTTTGCTACGGAAAGCGTGCTTGTCCCACCTCAAAAATCAATGGCCGTCTTCGGGGTCACGGTTGTGTTTCTTGTGGAAGGTTTCTTGTGGTCAAGCTCCTATTGTTTTGAGAACCAACCGTGGTGCGGCGGCCACAGGGCACCAACCATGGGCCACCGTAGAGGGCACCGAGCATCAGGGAATGGCCGACTGCGCCGACGGCGACGTGCAAATCCACAGCGCACCGAGCGGGAAGCGCAGGGCAGGGACCAGGAACGGCCGATTGTGACATGAAGGCCACGACTAACGAACAACACACACCCATACCAATAGGAGGGTCAGAGGGAGGAGGACTGGCTGAGGGTATGGGTGCGGGTTGTCGGACCGCGGAGGGGGGCTCCTTTTCGAGTGGGGACCCCCATCCGACAACACGCACCCAGAGCCTCTTCCGCCCCCCTATGGGTATAGGTATCTTTCGTTCGCCAGAGGGCACCTAGCGTTAAGTCGGGCATGTCCGTCTACAGGGGGAATCTTCAAACATAGTCAAACAATAGTCTGTGGACGATTGTTGACTTTTGTTGAACTTTTCTGGTGCATGTTTGACTATTTTTGATGTGTCGTCCAAAATCCCCCTGTATGGGGACAGGCCCGACCTAATCCTAGCGAGACCCATAGGGCACTGACACGGAGTGGCCGACTCTGGCGCGCGTGGCCGACAAGAGGCACAGTGCAACGATCAAAAGGAGCCGAGCGTGGCGAACGTGAGAGCTCTTAGGTATATGCATTGTTTTAAGTTATCAAAACAGGCTTGCCCTATATGCGAGGCCCGAAAACCATCACGTCACTAAGTGGGCCCCAGGGCCCACTGAGGCCCCCAGGGGCCCCAGATTAGTGAAATGAAGTTTTTTCCCCCACGTCAGGACCCCGAAATTAATCACTTCACTAAACCGAACTCAGGACGAAAGTCAGGGGCCGAATTGCTGCTGTGATGCAACATCGGTTTCGTATTATAGGAGCTCTAACTCCAGCCCTACTAATTGGTCCGTTGTCCCCCCTAATTTCTGCCCTCCCTAATTCCTATGGCCCCTGACGCAGTTGCTGGGCCGCACGGTCCAGTACGGTACAGTACAGTGGACTGGAGTGCGCGCGTGGGGGAAACAGGATCGTCTTCATCGTCATCATCATCGTCACCACCACCATCATCACCCACTACCTAGTTGGAGTCAACGCTCGCGGATATTATTTTGACTACGGGTCGCGAGTTGATTAATTGTATTGGTCATCGTTCGCAAGACGGCCCCTCTACGTGGTTGGACGCTTCAGTTCCTGCGCGGTGTTTGAGCTAACTTAGTGGCCTCACGATTGCGTCGCCGATCTTGTTACCGCGCTGTGCCTGTCCGCTCCGTTTCCTCTCTTCCCAGTTGCGATGTGGAAAACAACATGCTGGGGGAAACGCGCGTCGAGCTTCCTGCCGCGATCGGCCACGCCGGAGGGCCCAAGTCGAGGCGTACTGCGTGAGGCGTGCCAGAATCGAAGGCGCGGTCGTTCCCCGACGACAGGTGCCCAGGGCGCTCTGCCGGACATCCAGGACGTGGACTTGGCGGTGGTGAACAGGCAGGGGAGAGGCTGCCGCCACGCCCGAAGATGGGGGAGGGGTGCGAGGGGGGGAGGACGGCAATCAGCTGGAAGAGGATCGATCGCAGGCCCAGGGGTTGACACCAACACCAATTTCGGCGGTGTTGTTCCACCGAGGGAAGCAGACCCCCATCTGGGTGATGGTGGTAATACTCTGGCTTCCAAGGTGGCCGACATGCTACCACCAACGCTGAAATCTAAGATCATTTTCCCCCTGTGAAGGCAAACCCCCTGTGTTGGTGTTGGTGCCCATTCCCAGGCCTCCATACCCAAGCTGGCCACGATGGTGTCCAGGAGAGGTCCAAGGGTTGATCTTGAGCGAGGAAGGATGGGCCGACCCATGCTTGCAGGCGTCGTGAGGCATCGCGACGAGCATTCTTGTCAGCGTTCGCAGCCCTCGGTGCCAGCATGCGCCGTAAAACGGGTCTCAGGGAGGAGCGATGGATGAGGGAGAACGGAGGCGAAGGACGAGGGGGTGGAGAAAGAGGGGACGGATCAACAGGAGGAAGAGGGTGTAGGGAGGAAACAGCGGAAAGGAGGGAGGACGGATGGATGGATGGATGGTTGGATTGTTGGATGGTTGGATGGATTGATGGATGGATGGATGGATGAACGGATGGATGGGAAAGGGGAGGAGGAGCAGGAGGAGAAGGAGGATGTTGATGATGATGAGGGGTAGGAGTAGGAGGAGGAGGAGGAGGAGGACGGGGAATAATAATGAAGAGGGAAGGTGAGAAAGACAATGTGGTGGAAGCGAGGGGGGCAGGAGAAAGAGGAATAGGATAATGTCGAGGTCGTGGAGGAGGAGGGGGAGCAGGAGGAGGAGCAGGAAGAGGAGGACGAAAACGATCAACATATGGATGGAGGGATGGAGAGGGGGAGGATGCGGAGGAGGAGGAGGAGGAGGAGGCGGAGGCGGATTAGGAGGAGGAGGAGGAGGAGGAGGAGGAGGAGGAGGAGGATTAGGAGGAGGAGTAGGAGGAGGGGGAGGAGGAGGATGACTAGGAGGAGGAGGAGGAGGCGGCGGAGGATGATGAGGAGGAGGAGATGGCCCGTGCGCCCCGTGCGGCGGGCCCGCGGAACTGTTTTTCGCGGCGGACGCGCCAGGTGATTCGGGCAGCAGGGCTGCTGTTCTTGCATCCTCCTCCCTATACGTGCCCATCACGCCCGCCCTCCTCCCCCTGCTCATCCCCTGGGGACTGGGAGGGATCTGGATCTCACACGTCCTTGGCGCCGCGCCCGTACTGCCTGGGCGCGCCGTGGTGTCTCTGGTCTCTCTAGATGCTACAGTGCCGTCTGCAGTGGGTTGGGTACCGCACTCTTCTGGCAAGCTCAGAGCTTCATCAGAGTCGCAATCCAAGAATCCCCTGCTCATCCTGTTGCTCGTCTCTCCTCGCCCCTGGTCTCTCCTCTTCACCCCCTGGGGCGGCGTGTGCTTCGAGAAACGCTGTCCGAGATCGAGGATCGTCCTTACAGGAGGTGTTCGGAGGCTTCTGGGGCTTCCTGGACCCAGGCCCCCGACGTTGTGAATTTCACAACGCGGACCCCCAGAGGTTCTCGGCCCATTCCCTGGGACCAGCGTTTCACCTTGAATCGTTCTGACTGTCCTGTGGACAGGGAAGCGCCCCCAGATGCCGAGACCTGCTCAATGCTGTCCGTCGTGTCCTTTTTCTTCACGACGCGAGGTGGCCTGGAGAGGCTGGGGGAAGTTTGGGGGAGGCTTCGGTGTCCGGGCTGCCTTGCAGCAGCGGGCGCCTCGCCGAGAGGACGCGAGGTGGCCTGGAGAGGCTGTTGGAAGTTTCGGGGGGGGGTTCGGTGTCCTGGCTGCCTTGCAGCAGCGGGCGCCTCGCCGAGAGCCTTTTTGGGGGGATGCGGGCCCGCTCTGGCCCTGGCCCCCGCGGCCGGGCAGGGCCCAGACGGGGCGGCGCTCCCCGCGAGGCTCGGGGCCACGTGGCCCCTCCGATCTGGGCGTGTCGCGGGGCCGGGCGTGTCCGATGGGCCAATGGCCCACCGCCACTACCAAAGCTAGGACGGGGGAGAAGGGAGGATGGGGCCTCCTCCTCCTCCTCCTCCTCCTCCTCCCTCCTCCTCCTCCTCTTCCTCCTCCTCCTCCTCCTCCTCTCTCCTCCTCCTCCTCCTCTTCCTCTTCCTCCTCCTTCTCCTCCTCCTCCTCCTCCTCCTCCTCCTCCTCCTCCTCCTCCTCCTCCTCCCCTCTCCTACCTGTGGTAGTGGTGGTGGGAAATCGGCCCATCATGGGAGTGTCACGGCGACTGGGAGCAGGTGCTGCTGCTGGTGCCGCTCGCTCTTCGCTGCCTGCTGGGTTGGGCCAGGGTGCGGCCGCGGGGTCTGCGGTCGTCCGCCGCCTGGCAGTCGAGGGGCGCTGCCGGGCCACGCGGCAGGGCCTGCTCGACCGGGCGATGTGGTGGAGAGCCGTCGTCTACGCTCAATTCGGGCGTGCCCCTGCTCTACAGGAGGACTATCCAAAAATAGTTCACAGATAGTCCGGGGACGATGTTTGGACTATGTTTGGCTATTTCGGATTATGTTCCTCAGTCAGAGCTTGCCTCTGTAGGGGTCCTAGCGGATTCATATGGTTGGGTTAGGTTTGTCGCCCATTCTCGCTGCACGCCCGGGTGCCCGGGGGTGCCCGGGGGTGCCCGGGTGCCCGGGCGTGCCCGGGGGTGCCCGGGTGCCCGCCTTGTAGCCCTATTGCCTTATAACCCTAGAGCCTTATAGCCCTATAGCCCCATAGCCCTCTAGTCCTATAGCCCTACAACCCCAATAGCTTGCTAACCCTATAGCCCTAATAGCTCCATAGCCTTATACCCTTATAACCCTATAGCCATAGAGCGCCCTATAGCGCTATAGCCCTCTAGCTCTCTAGCCCTCTAGCCCTATAGCCCTATAGCCTTATAGCCCTATAGCCCTATAGTTCTTTAGCCCCATAGCCCCATACCCTTACAAAGATTATGATTGGGGTTTCTCTCTGATATCATGTTGAATATGTTCTATTCTTCGTCCAAAAGCTGCCTGTGGGAGACCCCGCCCGACATGAATCTGCGCCCTCGCTGGCCACTTCGCGGGCCTGGCCGTCGCCTGCGGCCCACGTGGCCGGCCCATGGGGCCGCCGTCGAGGACGCCGACGTCGGAGGGCACCGTCTGTACACCTGCACTCGGCATCGTTTAGCCGATCCCCATCCCCATCTCCATCCCCTTCGAGACCTTCCTCCTCTTCGTCCTCCTCCTCCTGCTCCTCCTCGTCGTCCTCCTCTTCTTCTTCCTCCTCCTGCTCCTCCTCCTGCTCCTCCTCCTGCTCCTCCTCCTCCTGATCCTCCTCTTCCTTCTCCTTCTCCTCCTGCTCCTCCTCCTGCTCCTCCTCCTCCTCATCCTTCTTCTTCTTCTCCTCCCCCCACCAAATTACCACCCCAGTTGGGGATACACCCCTCGAAGCCCGAAGAGAACGACCGATGTATCCCCATCCAAGGGGGGCAGATCGGCAAGTGGGGCCCTGGCCACGCCGCTGGGGATGGGGATCGGTGAAACGATACACCCACACTGGTCCTGGCCAGGCCAGCCCTGGGTCCAGGATCGGTGCATTTGCTTCCCGGCCGACGCCAGGAGGGCGTACTCCTCCTCTTCCTCCTCCTCTTCCTCCTCCTCCTCCTCGACCTCCTCTTCTGCCTCCTCCTCCTCCTCCTCCTCCTCGTGCCCCTGCTCCTCCTCCTCTTCCTCCTCCTCCTCCTCCTCCTCCTCCTCCTCTTCTTCCTCCTCCTCCTCCTGCTCCTCCTCCTCCCCTCTTCCTCTTCCTCTTTCTCCTCATCCTCGCCAGGATCGGTGTAGGTGCATAGTTAGGGTCCTCCTACGACGGGGACAGCGACGACGAGTGGCTGTGGGAGCTGCTGGCAGCCTGGGCCGCGGGCCGCGGCCGCCTCCCAGGAGAGCGCCACAGAAGTCCCTGACGGGTGCCTCGAGCTTGCGGCGGTGCCGTGGTGCGAGGCGGGGGCCTTCCTGACTCGAGCACTGGTCGGCTACTCGTGAGTGGGGCCGGCTGGCGGCGAATGCGGCGCGCCCCTGGGGGGGGGGGGGGAGTACGACGCTGTCTTGATGGCGAAGGGCATGGTCATAGCACTCCAGTCCGTCGGGCTCACGGGCTCTCCTCCTTCGTGGAGACGGCCGACCTGGAGCGCGGCCACGGTCTCGCCGTGCGAGTGCAAGTGCGTCGCGCCGATCTGGGGGGCACCAGCACCTCCAGGCGCTCCCAGCTGGCACCCGCACCTCCGGGCGTCTGGCACCTTGCGCGGGCGGGGCGCGCCTTCCTGGACGCGGTGGCCGCGCGTGCGCTCCCGGGCTCGCAGTGTGGCGGTCGTCCTCTGCGGGGCTGGCCGCACGGAGCCGCGCCCTGACGGGGTTCCGTCGAACCTCTCGCCGCCGCCGATCCCCGTCCCCGTCCCCATCCACATCTGGAGCCCCGCCGCCTCACCACCTCAGTGGGGGATGTGCCCCTCGAAACCCGAAGGGAGCAGCTCATCGTTGTGATGCCCCTACCTACTTTCGCCTTGGTCACCAGGGAATTTCGAGCACCAAAGAAGTACCGAAACTCGAGGGTTTTCACGTGTCGGGCCCTGGGAGACACTCGTCCGACACTGTTTCGACACTCTTTCGACACTTGCCCGGGTGCTCGAACTTATTTCTGAGATGTGGTCCTTGAGTACGATGGTCGCAACAGAAGCTCAGTTCCCCATCCAGGGGGGCAGATCGGCCAGTGGGACCCGGCCCACGCTGGTGGGGATGGGGATCGGTTGAACGATGCTCACAAAGGGGTCGTGAGCGCCTGTTTCGGTGCTGGCCGTCGGGGGAGCCGCAGAGTCGGACAAGTTCGGGTGCGATGGTCGGGGCTTCAGTGGACGCCGACCTCGGGTTTTTTCACCCCCCGTCAGGGCGCTCGTGTGCTCGCGGCTGCGCGAGGGTGCGTGCAAGCTGAAGGCCGCCCTCGCGC